GTGAAATATCATCTTGAAATAATTTTGAAGTAATGGGGTGCACTGGCCTGCCAGCATTTCTGAGACAGCTAATCTAAATGTAGCTGATAGTGTCGGGTAGTGTTGCTAAAAACAGCCTGCTAAGGTACAATTAGCCTGATTTATGTGTGAATGAATTGCAGCTACCATACACAGAGTCCCGGGAAATCTCCAGCTCACCAAATTTTGATCCTGTAGTGTAGTGCAGAGGCACAAAACTCAGCTATGGTAGCTTGTGGTGTAGCTTAAATTGAAAAGCTACACTATCCTCAAAGTGATATTCCTGTTAACTGCACTCAGCTACACTACACACATAATGAATGGTAGCATGTTGCAGTGTAGCTCAGTGTTGCTGCCAGTGACTGGTAGTTGGGGGCTGTGTATCTACATTACATTTTTTTCCTCTTTTGGTCATTTGTTTTGTTTTCTATTGTTCATCATAGTCTTTACATCACAAATTCTTTGTTGTGTATTCTCCCAACAGTCATTAAACTACAGGGCCTTGGTTTGATCCTCGTTATCAATTGCATTGGCCTACCTAGAAAAATAATAAATTCTTTTGTGTGTATTGCTGCAAGACACTGCAAAAAAAAGACTTCACTTTCAGTCACCAATCCCCGGCTGTGGCTCAAGCTACCTAGCTTGGCCACAGAGATACCATGCTGTTCTTTCAAAATAATATGTAGGAGCACTGCAAGACAGACTTGTTGTGTATGTGTATGCAGTTAGGCTTAAATGCATATCTCAAGGCATTATGTCAGGCTTTTGTTAAAATTGTGCAATGTCTCTGACAACCCTGTGCCAGCAACACAGTGCGGCAAAACAAAGACATTTCAGGCTGTGTTGCTCCACAACACATAGCATACATGCCGCAACCTGTGTTATGTTGCTGCTAGCACTGCAACACAAGATAGGTAAGCCAAGTTGCACACCGGCTCACCCGCCGTGCAACGCAACGAGCGCAACAGCACCACAAAATCATGAAAACCAGTGCTTATGTAGACTGCAACACAACAAGTGCTGTTGTGGTTGGAGAAAAACTCCAATCCCAAGGGCTTTGTTGCACCTCAGGGTGTCCTGCAACACTGATTTAAAAGTTGTGTCACTTGGCGGCATGTGAATCCCGCAATACACCAGCAGCACAGCGCGCAACAGCTGGGTTTCTGGCCCAGGGTTGTCTGTGATGGGAAGTAAGAGTAAGAGGTACTAGTTGTGTTGATGGCAAGATTTCAACATGAAGAGTAAAAGGTACAACAGGCATGGGAGCTCTAGCTAAAGTCTGTAGAGTATATACTAAAGTAATAGCACAGCCTTGAAGTTGTGGTAGGCTCATTACAAATTGCATAAATTTATGCAATAGCATTTTTTTATTTGGCGCAGGGACAAACAAGAAGAAATTTTCTCTAAGTAGAAAAATAACACTACTAGGGGTTGGTTTTTATCATGAGTTGTTAGATGGATTGGTTTTCTTCACTTTCCTATTTGTTCTGACTTCTCATTCTAGCTGGAGAATTCCATCTTATCAGTTTGACCCCAGACAGGGCACATTACTGCCTGATATTACAACAAACCTAGTTGCAAAGGCTTTGATTTGAGTTCAATGGGCAAAACAACTTTCCCAGGGCAGTTTATAGGTATGTATTATGACTTTGGGGACTTGAATCATGGTTTTTGACATAATTATGCAATCAATAACAAATTGGCCCACATCAGCTGGGTGGAAGCCAAAACTTATGCATTTTGGCTGGTTATGTATGGCACAGGGTTGGCTGTACATGATACTAAAGTGTAACTGTTGGAAGAAGTTTTAGAACCTGTATATCTGAGGATACAGATTCTTTAGTAAGAGTGAATAGAAAAAAGTGTATGAATTAACAAAGAAATGTCATTGTAATTTCAGATGTTTATTTTCTAGAAGTGAATTGAAGTGGGAACAACTTGAGTGATCATGAAAAATTGATAAAGAGAGTTGATTGACTTGACTCTTTGGGGGATTTTGAAAGTCTACCATTTTAATTGCACACTATATAGAGTAATAGGTGGGCTGTCAGCTTAGGTCTATGTATAAGGTTGATCCTATCCAGACTAGAACCAAATGGCACTTATGAGTTTGAGTGCTGAAAAGTTTAAATGGCTTTGTTACAACAAAACAGAGTGCTGTTATTTTTATTGAAGTGAATTCTAGCTGGATATGTTGGTTCAAAATATAATGTTTCTTTAGAATAATTTACTTCTCAAATATTGGAACACTCATACACTCATGCACTGGTCCAAGAATTTTGTAATTATTATGTGAGTTCCACTGTTTGTTTCAAGCATGTTGTCTTCATGTTGAGAACATGCCCAGTCAAAATGTAACATACACCGTGTCTGCATCCTTGTAGCACATCAACGTGCACACACCAAAGACTTTTTAAACACACTTGAAAGATCCTTTAAAGAGGTCTCCACAATAGGCACGTCTTCCCTTTGTCAATTGAGATGATGGCACACAGTTGACCCCAACTGTTGACAAAGGATCCCACAAATCCTTTAGTCAAATGATCATTCACAAAGGGTACACAAATTTCAGTCTAAAGCCCACCAAAAAAATTTCTGACTCCATGTGTGCATGTCAAAGTGCCACAAGGATACCAACATGGTGATAAACATATGTGGTTACATTTCAAGTATGTATTATACAATAGGGAATTTTTGTAGGAATTTTCTCATTATGTTGATGAAACTGATGAAACCTTTGGCTTACATTGACAAAAGGGCCTCATTAAAGAATGAACATAAACTCAGTTTAAACTTAAATCAATCTGATTGGGTCACTTTTTGAAAAATTGGATACAGCACATTGGGGTGAACTGGTGTCATCTAAGATTTTAGGCTCAAAAACTCATCAAGGAAGGTGAGGTCATGATCAGGACACATCACATCTTTACATACAGGGGAAGTTAGTGTACAATGTGTGGAGATCAAAAAAATAAGAAAGGTTTTTTTGAATCAATGTAAAGTACAAATTGAAAGGGTGTAGTAACTGGATGCTTGAATTACTTGGCACTGCAACACAATTGATTGATTGATCAGAATTTAGGGGAATAAAAGGTTGGAATTTGACATGAATGTATGAGGTCAAGGTAAAGTGGAAGACAGGTTTTATTGACCAACACCAAACCAAATTCAAGAAACAAGAACAATGAAAATGATTGAGCAAGATGGGAAATGAGAAAGGTGGATACATCAGTATCCAATATTTCATGACTTCATTGACTCAACACAGGTCTGAATAAGTGGAGAATGGTGATTGAGAGAAAGAGAGGTCTTACATGAAGTCTTCAATGTAACATCCATAAGAGACTGGACTTACCTTTGTATATAGAGGAACCTTCAAAACCCATTTTGTCTAGCCAATACAAATTGATATGAACACAGATTGAGGTGCAATATGGTAGAGGAAGGAAAGGCAATGAACAATAAATAAAGAAACCAGAGTGAAAGAGAAAGAAGCTGTGAAAAGTAAGCTATGACTTTTCTGAAAGGTTGATGTCTCCAATTCAGCAAAGGTTTTTTGCAATATAACTTGGGTTTTCAAAGTCAAACCTCAGGTCTCAGTGCAGGTCTTGGTAGTACATCAACTTTACAAATATTCTACAAAGACACAAAATTTACATCACAATTACAAACCACATTTGTCACTTGTAAACAAGTCCCATGCTTCTCAAATGTCATTACTAGGCATGTTTTGAACACATATTTGCCCTTAAAGTTTGGACCGCAGTGTATCTGTGTTCACGATAGCCTGGAGGAAAATTGCTGTTTGTATTGATTTCATCAGCCAAAGTGGCTCCAAAATCACTTAAAGCAATGCAAAAGAAAGGTTACATACGATAATAATGCAACAGAACAGAATGACTCGCATGGTTTCATGTAACACCAGAGAAGCTCGATGGGATTGAATTTGGATATTAAAGATTGATATGATAATTGATAATCCATCTCTATGAGGATTCAATTTCATTTGTTTTTTGCTGCCCGGTCCGACATTTCACGCTTTTAGACACTTCCACACGAACTCACCTTACTCGCCATCAAGCAAATGCTGTTTTCATTCTATCCCAACTTCAGTACATGCATGTGGTTCCTGAAATGCTTTTGAATATGTCGATGAGTCCACTCGCAAGCGAAGTGAAATAGGTGACATTGTAAGGGATTTCCTCATGCTGGTCAATGCCGGCAGTATCTCGAATACCGAGCCGGGCCGTTACTGCGGCATGAAGAAATCCCTCCGGCGAAGGGGAGTATTTCTGGAATATTGGTCTAAAGATGCGAAAACATCAGGGCTCTGAATATATCGGCTACAGTAAAACATTCCGCTACCCCATAGTTTATCTACGATCAACGTATCTGCACAGTGGGCTACGTCACGAATGTAATTTGTGAGTGATGCTCTCTTGATTTCAACCGGTGGGTGTTCGCAGATGCTGAGCTTGAGTATCCGATCATCCATCTACTGACGCCCTGCCCTGGACAGCTAAGGATACACTGGAGTATCATTTGTGGAGCATTAACACGACATCCCTGTGATTTATATGTCTTTAAGTAAATATCCCAATGCTCGTCGCCGGTCTCGCCTTCATTCAACATTGCGTGTAATGGGGTTAACCCTAGCTTCAATTCAACCGGTGGGTGTTCGCAGATGCTGAGCTTGAGTATCCGATGGTTTTTCTGATCATCTGATGTACTGAACCCAGGTGAGTGACCAAAGGAGGTACACCGTACTATGACGATCAGTTATCTATGCCCCCACCTAAATCCCACATGATTACCATATTTATACGTACAACCCTTGGGACAAACACTCGCCCACTTCACATCCCATTCAACCGTCGTGATACAATCCATTTACCTGCTTGAACTTTCTTTTTGTGTTCAGCGTGACAATCTCCAGCTTTCTCGCTTACTCACTTACCATTGACTGCACATACAAGCTTACCATGTGGGTCACCCGGCATCTCAGCTGTTCATTCATCCATCTCTTCATCGCGACACTGTGGGAGTCAGAGGTGAGCGCGAGTGGTAAGCCCAATTGGCCGGACCCCTCTCGTCTGCCAAACACCACGGAACCTGGTCAGTATGGGTATAACCGATGCGGCAAACATTCCTCGCAAGATTCCAACTGCCAGACGTTGTAAGTCGTTAGCTTCGCCATCTTTGTTATCTTGGCGGCCTTTGCCTGCGCAATATCGTCCGCGAAAACGAGCTGAGGTTATCCTTCTTATTGTACCGGATGTTTCATTGTTCACCAATTTGCGTATGGCCCAACAGATACGTCAACAGTCTTAATGATTTTTGCCTCTGGGCACCTCCCTCGGGACAGCAAGAGGTTGGCAATTCAGAAGAATACGAGGTTGCCTGGTGCACCAAACCCGGTCGCGGAACCAGGCAGATCCCCGCAGGAGCACTGATAAGCGCTCATTTCCTCTCTACGCCAGTCAGTATCGCAACATGACCGATTCTGCCCTCTACGCCACTTGAGTTGAGATTAAATCATTGATAAATTTGGGAACAGCATTATGTGCAAATCACAGGCTTCATCGATGGGCCGGCCTTGAACATCAAGAAAAAGGATGACGGTGGAGAGCTTGAGTACGCGAAATTGGAGTCTCCGGGCACTTTTCTTCATTGGGGCGTTTGCTAATATCACTCTGTGGTTTTTAGCCCGCATGGAGCGACAGGTTTAGGAAATCCCATCGGTAGTTTGGTCTACACTACGGCCTTTGGAGGTGGAGTTCAGCAGGTGAAGGAGTGGATGAAGTCGGTATCTAAACTCCTTTATCGCGCTTTCACACTTTCACAAGAGACACGAACTTACATCTCGACTCTGTATCTGCATTTCAGCTTCATGGCGGATGGTGAATTTTGTTTCCGAATCTGCAAACCAGGGGACCCACAAGCTTGGTGTAAGTCCAGGATTCTGTGCCGCACCATGATGCTTCCAGATCCCACAATCAATCTACATATTCTCATGAACCTGCTTCTGTCACAGTATACTGTCAGCACATCTGTGAGTGAAAAACCTCTTCTAGACAAGACTTCCCTACCTTGCGATGAGATTCGAGACTGAAAAGTTTTGATGGTATTGGTGTATGCCTTTCTCGGCGTTGATTGCAGACGATGTGATGGGATGCGTGTAAGTCTGCTTTCAGCTCCTGACTTTCAAGTGATGAAAGCTGACGGATTTCACTTATCCTTGGGTCTCAATAAGCTGGGTGATGCCCGGAAACTATAATCAAACAGGCTTCGACTCCTGTGAGGGAGACTCGGCTCCGCCCCCAGGCGTCTACGGCACATCAACGTTCCACCAAGGAGATGCCAAGACCCCCATTCCGCATCGTGCGGCAAAATCAAGCAACTGCCACGCCGTGCAGACGATCAGTCTTCTGCCAGTGAAATCAAACGCCACAGTGGTTCCTGCTAAAAACCGAACTCTCACCACCACTGCCCACCCGGGTAACATCACCGCGAGTCCGAATACCTTGATCCCGGGTCCTGCGAGTCCGAATACTTTGAGCCCGGGTCCCGCCAGTCCGAGTACCTTGAGCCAGGGTACCGCCAGTCCGAATACCACGAGTCCGGGTACCGCGAGTCCGAATCCCGCTTCACAGCCGGCGAACTCAGCTGGGAGATCTTTCCGGAATGCTTACTGCATTACGATCGTGGCAGTGCTCTTTTCGACAGCTTTGTTGTAGAATGTTACGCTACGTCTGTAATGTCCTCTTTTGAGACACCTCTTCAACTAATTTTCATAGCTTGCATGGTATTGGCTACCTTCTGATCATGTCATCATTGTCAGGCTACTCAGAAGTGTTTTCCAATCAAAGCAAAAGACCTTGTATTTTTCTTTACAAAAACCTAGCCTGAATTTTAGGTCAAAAATGTATATTTTATTCTTTCTTGCCGCCAATATCATCAGAAACCAAAGAAACAATAAATTATTCCAATGTAGATAAAGATTTTACCCACTTAAAGCTGATGATTTGTTCAACTTTTAGTTTTCTATAGAGTTCAATATTGCTGCATTTGATCAAAGCTTCATTTCATACATTCACCCCGATATGTTTTTCTTTTCAAGCCATGTCATGTTTGAAGTTGTATATTTAGATGAATCACAAGATGACATTTCTAAACCGCACGTTGATTTTTGACACGTATCCATAAATGATCAAAAAGACATCTCACCAAAATATGTCTCAGCACATAAGTCTGAGTGGAAGCTATCGGCACGACGATAAGAAGACAAAAATGGAGCTAAATTTAGAAGAGTGAAGGAATCATAGCAATGAAGAGGCACACCGCACTTCAAGCCTATATATAATATACTACAAAACAAATGAGGAATTGTACTACATCATATCTTTGTGCCATGAACAAGACAGATTTACTGCAAAAGATTTACAGCAAATTATCCAGGTCCTCAATCTATGTTACGACAGCCAATTTCCTGTGGTGTTATCTCAAAATGACTCTCTGCTCACCAAACCTTGATATTTACTTGATTGATCTTACAATGTTTATTTTCAAAGCAATTTGATATATAATTTTATGTTTCTGCGGCGTTGTCCACAAAATGACGACAGCTTTCTTCTTCTTCTAAACTTAACAAAGTCCCAGTTAAGTTTAGCTTTCTTCAATGATTCAGAGTAAAAATTCCGCTTCCTGCTGAACACTTGTCTTATAAGTGCCACAATCTCCCGCGTTGACGCAAACCCTTTCCAAACACACATTGGGTTATATATATTCTGATGACGTTTTTTTTTCAAGGGACACCTTCTGCGGAAAAGACTGACTGCCCGTACCAGGCAGTGAGTAAGTACTGTCTTAACCTTATTCCCAGTCCCGCCCTTAAAAATCATCAAACGCTCAGGATACCTTGATCCAAGGTTTTCAACAAGAAGAGAGAATACGTAGAATGATTGGTCTGGGATCAGAAGATTACAATTCTTCATACAATGTGGAAAAGCAACTTTTCTGTGTGATCAATCCGCGCCCTTGATCCTACAAGACAAGGTAAAGTTTGTGGTTAATATGCCTGCTTTTGTGCGGACCATACACACCCTTCTGTGCAACCTTTCAAGTTTCAAGGCTTCCAGACTCCAGAGATCGAGGTGGTGTTTACATACAAACAAAGAGGGGACCTGTATTTACTACTGTAGGCTGTAATTAGCTGTATGTGTAGGAGGCTACATGTAACAGTGTCTTGGTATGTGTAAACATTGTTTTGTCAGGAAATCACATGTGAACTTCCAGCTTTGTGTTTCTTTCGAATCTCTTGAAGTCTACCACTCAAATCACATTTCCTTGTTCTCTTTCATCGTTTCAACTAAAAAACTCAAACCACATTCACATTCCAATAACTCATACTTCATCCTGTCTATCCCTAAAGCAACAGCACATCGGCTTTCTCACTTGAATATAGGCAAAACCAAAACAAGTATGTCCAATGTCATCCTTTGATCTTACTCAGCTTCTCCATAGACCATCTTTTGTTGATCAGGATCTACACTTCTCAAATTCCAGAATCCCCGATAAGGGAAGATGTCTCAAGGCCCTCAGGCATCCCCGAGAAGCATGGCCATGTCACCCTCGACATTCACTTCGAACAAGCCATCGAGCCCGGCTCCAAGCGCACCCCAAACCTTGACCAGTGCAGTTTTACCAACTGCTGGCGCGGTTCAACCAATCTCTGTGCCCCCGAATCAGAATAACCCGGCGGCTCCTTCAATCATTTCTTCTCACAATTACAGGCCTTTGAATGTTAGAGATGCGTTGAGCTATCTCGATCAAGTCAAGTTGCAATTTCAAGAGCTTCCTGGCGTTTACAATCAGTTTCTAGATATCATGAAGGACTTTAAGACTCAAACGTAAGTCACAACCGATTACCCATAGCCTTAAGATGCTTTCGGCTGAATCCTCTTGTATGCTTCTTAGGATTGATACACCAGGAGTTATCGACGGAGTTTCATCACTTTTTAGAGGCCATCCGGCGCTTATTCAAGGCTTCAACACCTTCTTGCCCCCAGGGTACCGTATCGATGTTTCTCAAGGGGAAGCGTCCACCCATGCGGGGTCGAATTCGGCCTATAACTTGATCACAGTTACTCACCCGATGGGTGTTCAAACTCAGAAGCGCGTGCCTCTTCAAAGCGGAGGAGAGGAGATTGGCTCCCACATCATTCCCGACACCACTGCAGCGCATCCTTCCACAGGTGTTTCGTCTGTCAACTCCATGTCATCCGCTGACAAGTTGACCCGAGATAACGTCAATAGCCTCGCCCTCAACCCATTGCCTCGGACAATGATACCCAACGGCGTCGAGGCCTCGGCATCTACATCTGCTGCCTCTTTAGTCTCTGGCCCGAAGACTAAGCCTGTGACTTTGGACGTGATTGCCACGCATGGCTTGGGAACTGTCCGAACTAACAGCCCCGCCTTATCCAACACGGCTAGCACGGATGCGTCTAAATCCACAGTCAAACCCCTCGAGTTCAATCATGCTATCACTTATGTCAACAAGATCAAAAATCGATATTCGAGCGATCCAAAAACCTACCAGACCTTTTTGGATATTCTACAAACATACCAGAGAGATGCTAAACCTATCCAAGAAGTGAGTCTTCCATCCACAGTATCTCATCACCTTTGATCCGGGGCCTACCTCATAATTGGGTCGGGATTCTTCAGGTCTATGAACAAGTGAATCATCTGTTCCGCGAAGAACCGGACCTCATGGTGGAGTTCATGCAGTTTTTACCTGATACCTCCGGCAATACTAATCCACAGCCACTTAGCAACTCCGAAGGATTGTTGGGTGTTTGTAATTCTGCTGGCGCAACATCTCATGATGGTAAGACTTGAACCTAGGCTCCTCTGCGGCCAAAGGATTGGGATGTGCTGACAGTCGATCATTCATTTTTCATACTCAGATGCAAAGAACTCTTCCCTACAATCAAATCCGAAGCAGAGTAATGTCAGTATCTCCATCTCTGAAGCTCTCCTCAAACTCGCATACTGATGGTGCTCACCAGTCTGATAAGTCTGGTACCGTATCTCAGCAGCCAATACCTAAGAGAAAGCGAAACGGTGCCAACGTGGCTACCAATACCAAGGCGGCAATCTCAGGTGGCGCTCGTACAGCCGTTCTTGAAGCCAACAAGGCCCGCAACGCCAGCTCCGACAGTAATAAAGTCGATACTGCTGTCTCTATTGATCAGAACACACCGAGGGGTACGAAAAGGAAACCGAAGGGTGTCGTCAACCCAGGTGGTGATGCAGCTACTCCCGCTACCTCGACAGCCGGTCTGCCTCCCCCTGGCTTTGCCCCGCCCGGTTACCGATCTATAGGCGAGGCCTATAACGCTACTTTAACATCAAACCGTGCTCTTGTGCGGGAAACGCGACAACCTCGTGAAGCCCCGCAAAATCTAGTCAATGGGAAAGCTCGCAATCCAGTCAACAAGGAATCGCTGACGCCTGATCGAATACCCAAGAGGGTGATTGCTAAGGAGGAGTTACTATTCTTTTATCATGTAAAAACCTATTTTGGCGATCAAACCACCTACATCGAATTTTTGAAAATCATCAACCTCTTCACCCAAGACCTGATCGATCTCAACACATTGGTTTGCAAGATTGGACCTTTTCTGGTCAACTGTCCGGAACTCTTCAACAGGTTCACCGACATCGTCGGTTGGCGAGAGGATCAATCCATGCTACCTATGAAACGTAAAGGAGAGGCCAACGGTTTACCTGAACCAAAAAAGGCTCGCTGTCATCCCACTTTGAACACTCGCCCGGTTCTCTCCGGCTCCGAGGATCCTCCAGAATGCGGACCTAGCTATAGGCAAGTCCCCGAATCGGATGTATCACTAGCTTGCTCGGGAAGAGACGCGCTCTGTTCGGCTGTACTGAATGACAGGTGGGTATGTGCCCCACCCGGCCATTCCATCGACGAGCAATTATTCACGCCACGGCAGACAAATTCTTTCGAGCGGGCTTTGTACCAAGCTGAAGACGAGCGCCACGAATATGACTATCATATCGAAGCCAACGTTCGTACCATTGCCTTACTTGAGCCAATTAATCTCAGGATCCAGCAGATGGAGCCAGAACACCGCGCCGAATACCGGCTGAAGCCCGGATTAGGGGGACAGAGTAAGAGCATCTATCAACGGATAATCAAAAAGATATACGGTAAAGAGCATGGACCTGAGGTCATTCAAGCTCTTCATGAAAATCCTGCTTTAGCAGTTCCAATAGTTTTAGCGAGATTGAAGCAAAAGGACGAGGAATGGAAGAAGGCTCTCAGAGATTGGAATCGCGTGTGGCGTGAGGTGGATGGCAAGAACTATTGGAAAGCTCTAGACCATCAAGGTATAAGCTTCAAGGCTGTTGATAAGAAGATGCTCGGGAATAAAAATTTAGTCAATGAGATTGAACTCATCAAACGTGAACAACAGCAAAAACGGCAGCTAGCCTTGGACCCTTCGATCATCCAACTCTTACCGAAGTATCAGCTAGAGCTCGACCTGAGTGATACTGATGTATTCTACGACGTTCTAAAAATCCTCATCCACTTCCTTGATCATGTGCCCAACTCGGCTGGTCTGGATGATTCACATAAAGATCATATCGAAAGTTTCCTGAAATCGGTTCTCAATAGCTTCTTTGATATTCCAATGGCAGAACTCGAGCGACATCTAACTCCTTTGCCACCGGAGAGAAAGGGACAAGAGAGTGTAAGCGGTTTGAATGGCAAGAATGCAGACGGCGAAGGTCACGAGACGATCGGTTCTGATGGAGATGTCAGTGATCGAGCTGGAAGTCCGACGCAAAACTCGGCTGGAGATGAAGACAAACCCGAATCTTCGAATGGTCGACCCAATAGATCTACCAATGCGTCAGGCAGAAAGAGGGGAAGTACCAAAGATGGACATAGTGGAGTGGGATCAAGTGACCTCCGTAAGAAAGCGATGAAAAATGCTTGCAACAACGCTCCACTTCTAAGTGAGCGGGCATTGGCTCGGCGGTCGGAAGCTAGTCGACATAAAGGCACGACCCCTAGCCATTCGAGAACTGCAACCGAAGAGCCTTCTTCGACTTTGCCACCAGTTTCTCTGCCGGGCGCCAACCCCGGTGCAGATGCTCCTGACTACGATGTGCCGGATGCCCCGGATCAAATTCAAACATCTTCGGTACGAGATGAAGGACCAGAACCTACTCAAGGAAATATCATGGATGTTCTATCCAGTTTTACGTCTAGTACTCATTCCTCTCTTCGTCCACCGCCTATCAATGAAGGTGAGGGCGAGAAGCCATGCAATCCGATCTCTGATGAGCCGCAGGCTTCTACACAACGTCCGATGAATCATCGACCAATAAACCCGCCTCCAAAGCAACGTCGCTATAACTTTTTCACAAATAATGCGTTTTACTGCTTCTTTAGATTATTACACATCATGTACACCAGGTTTTACACACTCAAGAAGGTATCCGAAAACATCCATATGTGCCCAACACCAACAAGCTACCCCAGTTCTTCATCTTCATCTTCCACCTCCGTCAAATCAAAGTTCGAAACATATCTCAACTTATTGACTTGTATTCAAAATTTGAATTGCGGACAATTGGATCAAAGTTCTTTCGAGGATGAATGTCGAAATTTGTTTGGAGTCAAAGGTTATTCAGTCATTACTATTGATAAGTTGTGTCAAGCGCTGGTGAAAGTAGTGAGTGAATCCTCATTATCATCATTTATTTAAGTTCACCCAAGACTGACAATTTGATATGTGTTTTTTGGTGACAAACAGCTTGCGAAGTTGTCCAATGATGGAACTTCGCAAGAAATTCTCAGACTATATGAGACAAACAAACAGTTGGACAGAACTTCAAGAGCTGGTGGCTTGACTGAAGCACAAAGATTGGCCTATCGGAGGTCTGTTGAAGCCTTAACAGGAGGTACTGATACCAAACTATTTCGAATGGAATGGGTATGTCGATCACCTTTGCCTACTATATATCCTGACTGAGCTCATACCATGATTATCTACCATCGCAGCTCTCGCATCTTCAGGCAATGCGAATTCAGTTGGTAGGTGGTGATGACATCAGTCCAGAAGATTATGAAGCGGTCGAAAAAGCTTGGTCAAGTTACATTGAAAGTTATGCGGATATGTCAGTGGATCGTACAATTGGTTTAGGGAATTATGAAATCAAACCTGCTTTTCTTAAACGGTACGTATATTGTTTTGGATTTTGTAGAACAAAATATTTTGTATGATACTGATTCAGATTTTGAGAAAATTGAAATTTTCAGCAATGTCCATTCAGTAAGAAAATCAATTGGAAAAATCGATCCAAAAATGTTTTTAACTCAACCTGGTTTAGGTGTAAGAGTTTGTATGAGAAGTTATAAATTATTCTTTAGTCCAAATACATCAGATCTTTTATTTAGAAAATCAATTAAGTCACATCAAGGAAAACGAATTGAAGGTGAACAAATTGATGGAGAAAAAGAAGATGGAGAAGTTGATGAAGTTAAATCTTTAAATATAGATGAAGAAAGAATTAAAAGATGGGAGAAATGGTTAACGTTAAAAACTTCTAAGTCAACATAATATTTCGTTGGAGTTTTTTTTTTCTAATTCTTGGAAAAGAGTTGTTTTCAGTTTTTTTTGGTTCTTGAATTGACTTATTCTTTTTCAAAAATATTATCATCAGTTATCAGTTATTTGTTATCAATGTAAATTAAATTCATATCATATGTAGTTTGAGAGCATTTGTTTTGAAGTATTTGTATACAAATACAAGTTGTGATGGCATTTTTATGCACTATATAATATCGTATGAATCTCGTCATCCATCTTGATGACTCTTTTCTTTTTCTTTGGAGTTGGTTTCTACATGGAAGAGAGTTGCCGATATAGTGAAGCTTCATACCAAGCTCTTATATTATCATCCCAAGGTCAAAAGCCGGGTTTCATGATTTGTCGGATTATCTCTGGCTGACCTTTCAATTCTTTGTCTAATTCCTAAGCTCTGGTGTGATGTAATCGAAATATCTTGATAGCATGGCCGTTGGCCAACTTTAAGAAGCGCAAAGCTTTTTCAACGAGAAGGTGGCGCAAAGTCAGGCGATCTCCGGATGCTAATACCCGATGTGGTGTACCGACTGATACGGGAGCGTGGTGTGGACGCGTTTGGGGCATTGGGGCTTTTTGAGAAGTTGATCAGTCAGATCAGGTTAATTTGAAAGACATCCAAAGTGGACAACTGAGTCAACACGCATAACGATCGACCAGCTTAACAGTGCATACATACTCAACCCAACGAACCCATCGACCAACTAAAAAGAAATATCATATCCTCATTCAATCATCCTCAATAACCAACTCTCTTCACCAGCATCTTCACATTTTCTGTCAATCTTTTGGATTTTGATCAACTCTACACATCTCTGATTATTCTATACCGAGAAAAGAAGCGTAAAGAAAGAACAAAACTATGTATAACACGCCTGGGGTTGGATCTTCGACTGGTGTCACTCCATCATCTAACCTTGTAAAACAGAAGCGACGTGCGATTCCTGGAAGTAATGCAGCAGGCTCGTCATCGAACCTAAACCGGCACGCCGTTAACGCGCCTATGTCATCACGAAGGAATCGGATGGGAGCAGGAGATGAAGAGGAAAATATGGTCAGGGAACTGAGTGAAGAGCAAAAGATGGAGATCAAGGAAGCTTTTGAACTTTTCGATACTGATAAAGATGGCGCGATTGATTGTAAGTCAACTGATTTGAAGAAGGTCTCCCTCCTCAGTCTGGACAGACTGGAATTTTGCTCACTCGCCTGTTATGATTTCAATCTGGGAATCATATCTCGGTCCTCTTCGCAAGCTGACCCTGTGTATTAATTTTCTTTTTGGAATACGCGTCTGTTGATACAGATCACGAACTGAAGGTCGCAATGAGGGCATTAGGATTCGATTTAAAGAAGCCTGAAGTACTGAAGATTCTAAGAGATCATGATAAACAGGGTCAAGGATTGATCGAATTTGTTGAATTCGATAAAGTTAGTAAGTCTAGAAACCCATTTGTCATTGCCCACTCGTTTCTCGCTTCGATAGTCTCAACCTGGATTATTTTACTGATATTTGTAAATGTTAAAATTTGATTTTGTTTTTCAGTGACAGAAAAGATTCAAGCACGAGATCCAAGAGAAGAAATTCTAAGAGCTTTTAAATTATTTGATACGGATAATAAAGGTAAAATCTCATTACGAGATTTGCGGAAAATATCAAAAGAATTAGGAGAAAATCTAGATGAAGAAGAACTGTGAGTTCCTCACATTTCATTTTTTTCCAAAACTTGATGAAATATTCTATATCCTAATACCATTTATTATTTTTGGGGGGGGCTGCAGTGCAGCAATGATTGAAGAATTTGATCTTGATCAAGATGGTGAAATTAATGAACAAGAGTTTTTTGCTATCATGTCAGATGAACTTTGAGATTGTAATACAAGTTGAATGTGTGATTAGAAAAGAGTCGGATTAAATTAGAATTTCAGATTAACCAATCGGGCATCTTTTTTAGCAGACTCTTCACTTTTCTTTTGCCTAACGAAGGAAGATTCGAAGATCATGAAAAAATGACGTGCATGTGTGCAAAAAACTTGGATTGACTTCATTGTAATGAATATCATTGAAGCTTTACTACTGATGACAAGGATTCCTGGCTATATACTCGGGGTGCAGTTGAATTATTCAAATCTGACAGAATCAATGCAAGGAAGAATGATGAATGCAGCTCTGCTTCAAGATTTTTGGGTAGTAGATTGTTGAGGTGTATGGGTACCATGCCCAATTTGGTACAGATCTGTTGATTTTGTGGTACCTTCAGCCTCCAGTCTCTTGACACAAGTGAAAGGTATCAGTGGACTGCTCATACCAAGTCAAAAGTACATGAATTCACGACTCCTACTGCCAAAAAATGTGAATCAATGTGATGATGTAGACGGAGAGATGAACACTTCAAGTTGTCCATGTTCATATGTATTGTGCAACTCAGAAACCCACCACCTCACACCACAGGAATCAATAGGTTCAGAACTTGATTGAAAGTTGCTGTGACCAGGTTTGCAACTTTCTTCAATCAAAAGTCTTGTTTGCAATGTGTTCACATTAGGTTTGCTGAGCACCCATTTTCACATTCACTATGTCATCTTGCCCTTCAAGTTGCACTTGAAACACTTTAATGTCCCTCTTTATCCTGTATTCATGAACACTTCCATACCCGTCCATTATTAAGGACACTTGCAATGACAAAACCTTTCTCCAAGTCTCAAGGGACTTGTGGATTAGCAAAAAAAGATGAACAGAAATTTGATGTCTATGTAATCACAAAGAGACACTATACAAACCTATTTTCTATGTTGTTTCAGAACATGTCTTTGTGTACTTCAAAAAACAGCCAATCTGAATCAACCACACAATTATCGGTTTCATTAAGTGGGCAATTCAATTGGTGCGGGCACGACCGCAGCGGCATAGTCTAGTACATATAAAAGGTCCAATTTTAGTCTTCGCAAACCTTTTAGGTTGATCACATGAATTCTAGAGTAGGTGCTTTTTGATCTGGATCCTCTGGGGTGATCTAGCACGAAATATTGGCATATCAAGGATCTTGTAGCTCGTATGTAGTGCCACAGGTGTCCGCAGACACCCTTGGTGCCGAAAAAACACTCATCCGAGGGTCTGAGAGATTGTCTTGGGTATCAATTGATAGTGTTCTGCATTATAGGCAAGAGGACTGCGCAGAAGGCCAAGTCTAGATCATAATCAAGCATTGGAGCATATCCCACAATGTAAGATCTTGACTCAAACGTCTCAAAAGAATATAATGTATCTTTTTGTAGCTTTTAGGTGCCTTCTATGTCCATTGATTATTGCTCAAACGTAGCCGAGAACAAAACTGAATGTGTATATGAAGGAGCAAACTTGTAGGGAAACTTGAAGCATGCGGAGATTTCTTAAAAATCAAGATCAGAAGGCACACTTTATGCCCAGATAGGCTCATCTGATGGTCTCAGGAAATGTCTTGGTATCGATTCAAAGCTCTCTTCATCGGAAACGTCGGCCATGAACTTCAACAACAGATAAATTTACCTGCCATGTGGCAAATTGCATAGCAAGCGATAGCCTGAAAAGCTTAAAAGCAGCCTTCTCTTTCTCGTTTCCTTGTGATCCAGCAGGTTACATCCACTCATACCTACCCGGTAAATACTTCTCTTGGGTCCTTTCTGAGAAAAAACACACTCTTATATATTCATTTACTTACCACATATGTTTCTTTCCTTTACTGCAACTGAAAAAGTCTTTGGCTGTCTGCAAGTATTGTTGAAGTCAGTTGCAAGCCACAAAGATTTGTGTGGATCACAGGTAGATTGCCCCTCTTATCATCAATTAATATGTGCTTTGTTTTCTTCTTTTGGTAACAAGATATCTTGAACTTGTACGACCTCTTGATGTGGTGGTTGCTGAAATTATTGTCTTTTCACTAGGAGTCAACCTTGAGCACCCCATCACACTGTTTAACTCTTCAAATTTCTTCTTATTGAAGGTGATCCCATCTGACATTTTCAAACATTCACATATTTGCAAGAATTTACATTTATCCTTCTCCTAAGTTGGTCATATTTGGCAAGTTTTCAAGTATTTTTTGACTGCCGGCTTCAACTGACGAGATCATCCTTCTGAACTAGGCACCACAGTTAACTAATCATGAAGTACGCCCCTGCATGCCTATTGTTGTGGTTACTTGTGTTAGCAAGCATCACATTGGCAAATTTGACATGCAGAGATTGTGGGAGAACAATGACAATTTTTTCTTCCGGAAGATGTCAAGAGAGCATGAGATGTGCTGGTTACCGACACACAAAAAGTAGATGTTATGTGACTAAGACATGCGAACATAATAGTATGGTGACTTGGAGTTGCTCTTCTGGCCACACTCTGAATGAAAGTTCACCCCACCCTCATGGGGAGCAGTGGATCTGCGGTGGGAACCATCATCATACCCCCGGGCCCTAGACCTAACATCAATAAATCAAAAGGTCAACACTTGATAAACCATCCTCAAACTTAAAAACTTATAAGCACCACAAATCCAGGAACAAATCACAAGCAAACCAAAAAAACACCCACATACAGATTTTTCAAATGCTAAAGGTTTCATCATTTTTGGAACATCTGCTGAGAAAACCTTTTATCAAATTTGATTGCATAACTTGAAATCCATTTGATTATTCAAAGTTTACTGTAGGCCGGAGTTCATCAGAGGCAGTGATTTTATCTACAATAGTCCACTTTTTTAGTATTTGAATTCTTAAAATTTCTTTATCTATCTTGTTTCTCTTTAGAAATTCATAAGGTCTATGATTCTTTAACTTGATAAATTTAAATATGTTCATGTGATTCAAGCCTATTGATATGCTTTGGCTGTTAGATTGTAATTTTTTTTTTGCTTATATTTGGAAAGTATGATGGTCACTTTGAGAAGGAATTTGTTGATTCAAAGAATCAAATTGGGAAAAATGGGCCTTGCATTAAAAAAATGTTCATGAATTATCTTTTCATCTTCCACCCACAAAAACCTTCAGCAGCCAAATTTTTGGCATCTGCACTGTCAGGAGGAAACACTCTCCCAATTGGAATAAAGTTTCATTTTTTTGGAACAATTAATTATCATAACACTAAAGGCACAGGTTGTCAGCCCTGGGTACATATACATGTACCCAAAACTAACTTATAATATAGAACTTTCACTTATAAACCTAATTACATGTACATACAACTTATAAAACACATGTAACATGTAATAAAACATATACAAACACCAATTACATATACATATACATTTAAAAACATATGTAACATGTAATAAAACACCAATTACACCTCATAACTCAGTGTCAAGAGTTAAAATGCTTATACTACATAAATTACATAACACGTATATGTAACTATGTAATACTACTAATAATAATAATTAATAATAATCATTAAACCCTAAACCACAGTAATGATACAATCAAATATCACTACAATTAGGTTTGGAGAGGAGAGTATATAAACCCCTCCTCTCTCAGCCTTCAAGAACTTTCCCCCAAGCATTTTATTACACAACTCTTTTAAAGAACCCTTTAAAGTTCAATTGAAGTATATAATCAAGAGTCTTATAATATATAAGACTAGTGATTCACTTCATTTCTTTAAAGAAGTTCCTGACTAGAAGATAAAGTAATTTCATACTTCATCCTTTTTTCTTGGATCCTCTACTTCCCCCAAGTAGAACTCTTTCTCAGGTTAGTGACCTTCCAATAAACCATCAGGTTAGTCACCTTCAGAACAACTACAGGTTAGTGACCTACATCAACTCATAGGTTAGTGTACCTTCAGAACAACTACAGGTTAGTGACCTACATCAACTCCAGGTTAGTGACCTCTTGAATAACTACAAGTTGGTGACTTTATTACAACCAGGTTAGTGACCTCCATATCACTCTTCAATCAGTTACCTTGAAGATTGAAGGGAAGCCTTGGATCCAGCTTCTAACAATCATATTATAATTAAACCCCTCTGAACCTCCTTTTAAGGAGTCATTTAACTGTAGTCTGTCTGGATTTACCCAAACAGACCAGTTCCCCTCTTCCCTTTTCCTCTCTTTTAGCTTATAATTTTATTGTAATACATTATATTTTGAAATATAACCTTGATTATCTAAAATTACCAACCCACCTTGCCATTTTAGTGAGCCCTGAGTATTCTTTTGAATACCCAACCCTCACATTTGGGGGCCTCATCGTGTTGAAACCAAATTCCAACCTCAACTTTTTGCCAAAAGTGTGAGAATTCATAACACTAGACAATCAAAATTTAAGCCAACAACAATCATCTGCTAAATTCACCAACACCTGGAGTATATTTTTTTGAAACACTCCAAAATTATTATCATCCTACACAAACCAGACTGTCATTGAGAATCACACAAATCTCTATACAACTAAACAAACTATAAAAAAAAACACACATCTTGTGGAAGTAAAATTGATTTACCACAACCACTTGTGCTTAATTCACAACATCTTCAAAAAACATTTTTTTTTCTCTCTTTTAGTGTCATCTACTGAAAAGACACCCTGAAATTACTCACTACGAGTACCATCTCTCGAGTAAGTAGCAGTGACAGCCCGAGTGACAAGTGTAAATTTGTCGAGTCGAGTAATTTTTATATACACACTAGTCCGAATTTCGAAAATCCAGATACCCCAATAGACAGTGACTACATACATACCCTCAACAATCACTAACTCAACAACGATTACCATCAAGATAATCTACCAACCTACTGATTAAGATCAGGATAACGAGTTGGAAGAGCAAACGAGAATTAGATCGATTATCAGAAAGAGCGGGGGATTCAGATCAAAATCGAGAAATCCGAACATTCCGATCGGACCAAACAACAAGTCTTCAAAAAAGAAAAGGTACGGCTCACCTCTTTTCTCTAGATTAATCAAGCCACAGATCTCTTTTTTTTTCTTCTCTTTTATTAAATTGAATCAATTGGAATCAAGAGAATCACACTGACGGAAATCACATTACCTTTTCCATCAGAACAAATTGTTCTATTCCAACTTACGACCGCGAACAAGATCTCGAGCGAACCACTTCCTAACGACAAAAGAATACAAACAACAGCCAAGAGATATCAAAAGTGAGTCAGCAAACAATTAATACCGGAAGTGTTGCATAACAGAAGAAGACTGACATACGTCATCTACATAGTGATCGTTTTCGAAAACCTCATCGGAACAGAGGCCGATCAGCGATCTCCTTTGTATAAGAAGACTATCGATCACGACTTGTTTAATTCTTCAGAAAGTCTCTTTCAAACAGACCACTTTTATTTGTTTAACCACTCAATCAAATTCCAAAACCTTTTCAACCTTATCAAAGTTATCTACAAACTGAAAAGTGAATTCATCAGTTTCTTACCTTCTTTCCTTACTATCATCAATAAATCAAGCTTCATTCCGAATACTGATAGAGTATTGTATTTTAATTCATCATCCTTTTTGATTCCTTTTAAAATTTTTTTTTTACTGTAGTGTCCTTCCCACATCTGTTCAATTCGCTTGACTTAGCCAACCACGGTACGCCTCAGCAACAAGCAACCGAAGCGAGTCGTACGCATCAGTCCACTCCGGCTTTACCAGATCAACCAAATTACGACAGATCAGTAGTCGAATTCGAAGACGCTCACGGAAACACGTTGCAAGAACCAATACTGATTGATTCCACAACGAACACACCAGCCCCCGATCCCTTATCGAATATTGAAATCGACTCGCCAGGTTCCAAAGGTACCGCACGAGAACAAGTTCGAGCTGAAGGATCTCCACCAGCAAATTTACTCGTTAATCAACATAGTAAGTATTTCATACCAAATAGATTGATACTTCTCTGTACCCCTTTTGAGTTTGAAAGTGTGTTTTACTAACAAAATCACCAAATCGAATTGCCTCAATCCCATTTTACATCTAGATACTCAAAGCACCAATCCAGGTGGATCGAACCAAGGACAAGGAGCCCAAGTCCAGCGTAAGTGACCATCACTATCTAAATCGTTAATTCGAATCCATCGAATATAAAAATTGACTTGTTTATTATTATTTTTTCTTCTTAATACAATTTCTCTCCTCAAACAATTATCGTATCAGAACCAGGAAACACTCAACCTCAAGAGTATCATCATCAAGGCGATCCAGCCCAAGGACACCATCAACATAGTAAGCCTTAAGTTACTATTGATTAATTGATTTCTTTCTCAAGTTAGTATATACCAACAAAACCAAGGTATTTATAAGGAACTATTGTCTGTTTTATTTCGATCTTCGCATTTAAATCACGAGAACGATCATCAAGGACCTATTCAAGGGCACGTGAACCAAGGTTATCAACAAGGTCAAGGACCAGGTGAATACCGTGAGCAAACTCAACTCCGATTTGCGATTGTAATCAAAATAGTTACTGATCATTTGAATTATTATTTCAATTGTCTTTTTAATTTTTATCACTATTCACACTCCATCCTTTCTACCTATCCATCATTATGTCTAGCAGATCCCAACCACCAAGCCGGGCCAGCTCTGCCAGCACACGAGGCTCAGCAAAGTCGAAACGATCGGTCGAACCCGTATCACGGACAACCCGGCGGACACCAGTGGGCAAACTATTCGACCCACTACCCGCCTCAGGTAAGCCAAACCCTCAACTCGTTGAAAATTTCGCAAAAGAAAATGAAATTAACAAAAAAATTATTTCTTTATTGTCCGAAGACTCAACAGCAACAAGCCGGGTTCTATTACCAACCGAACTACCCTGCCCACCTGCCAGCTCCAGTAGCCCAACACCCACTGGTCCCTTCCCCTCACTACCAAGCTCCAGCGGGCTACCAACCACACCCGTCCCCTGCTCTTCAACGACACCAACCAACTCCGGGTACCAGCCACACCAACAGACCTCCTCCTCCTCCTCCTGCACTGTCTTACCAACAGACAAGGGACGCAGAGGAGGCCCGACTTCGCCAAGCGATCAGCAATCTTAAGCGCGACTTGGACGAAGCAAGAGTTGCAGGCAACAACTCGAACTTCAGGCAAGTATTGGGGATGGCCAAGGAGGCCCACAAGGAGTTGGAAGACTTCCTTGGGGGCAGACGTTACCGTTCGAAGGTCGAACAGATCGCGGGTTACAATCCGTATCGAATCAACCCCCAGACGATGGAAGAATTTGATCAACCAAGACCGGAAGCAGGCCCCTCGAGTCAGCGTCGCAAACGAGCTCGAGAGGAAGAGATCGAGGAACTGGCAGAGACCTCTTCTTGCCTTCTGGACATGATGTTGATGGTCAAGAAGATGAAACAAGAAGAGAAGAAAGATTCAGACAAGAAAGGAAAGGGGAAGGAGAAAGATCAGTAAGTATTCTCCCACCCCCTACATCTTCATTCCATTCCCATCCTTCAGTCCTA